CCAGCGATAGCCCTGCAGAGGGAGGCCCAGGCCAGCCAAGCGATCGCACCCCATGCCTGTTGCCCGCAGATGGAAGCGACCGGTGGCAGGGGATGGGGGGCAGTGCCATACAGATAGCAAGCAATGGCAGCGGCGGGGGCAGGGTCAGCTGCCAGCAGCCGGGGGAAGGAACGCCCCAATAGGCCCTGATCACTGGCCAGGCCTAGGGACCCTACCTGAGGGGTCCCAGATTGCAAGAGGGCCCAAGCCGGGTTAAGGGACAACCCCCCCCCCACGCACAAGTTTTATGCACTGGGCTTCTAGTAGTCTATAATTACATATGCAATGCTACTTGATATATAGAATTGTATGTTTAAGAAATATGCTACTTACTAGAATTATTTCAAAAACAGTAGCATTTTGCTAACTTTCATCTGGAGCCATATAGTCAACTAATTTCAAGACACTGGAGATTCTTAGAACATCTGAAATAACAATTCAACTAAATGGAAAGGGGGAGGGATGATTTAGTTGATAAAATTCCCAGCAACAACACTTTGAAACATTGAAACATTCATCTTGGACATTAGGCAAATACTGGTGATTTGGCAGAAGGGGAAGGGAAAGTCTCCAGCAAAACTGAAATATTTTTTTTTATCATTTGCTGGTGTCCTGCAACTTCTCTGCAGCCCAGCTGAACTTCTCATATCCTGGTGGGACCCCTCTCTGATACAAATGCACCTCTCACTCAAGTTGGGACACCCGTATTCATTTGTCTACCTCGTTTGCACAGAGACTTCCTCTCAGCTATTTGAGAATTACTTTCACTGCCTGTCAACCAATAGCCTACTAAGATGCTATCTCTGTAATGGCTTAGACTATATTTGAAGTTCCTATCAGATACTTTTGAATCGGAGAAAGCCATAGAACATATGAGAATCATTCCCCAATGGTGTTGTTAATGTCACAATTCCCAAGAAACGCGCCTGAGAGCAGAAATCTCATCAGTCACTTAGGACTTTAGAGTCCAGTACACATCCTGGGCCTTGTAAGTCAGGAAAGTGCACACATATACTTCTTTTGGAATCCATCCAGCCATGCTCTGATATTATTCTAAAGTCAATAATTTATGGGAGCCTTCAATATCTTAAGTCAACAAGGTTTTCAATAACTCTTCCCTAATAAATGTACTAGCAATTGTTGGTAATTATAGTCATTATAAAGTTATTTTGATTCTATAACAAACATTAGCTGAGGGGGATCAGGGCGGTAACCCTCCACCAGGTTAGGACTATCTACGGCCTTTCTCTTCAGTGTCATGCAGACATATTCTCACAGGGCAGAACTGCTTCTCACTGAACTGCAACCTCCACAACGTTAGTGATTCTCCAAACAGGATTGTTAGAGCCTCGTAGGTAGTTACAGCTCTGGAATTCTAAATTTCAGAGCTCTCATTGCTACCTTTTACTCTCCGGTCTGACCCAGAATATGGAGGAAGATGAGGATTTCATTCTTTCAGAACTTCTCTGGAAAAAAATCAGTAAAATAATTTGACTGCCTAATTACAGCTTACATTAATATGCTCCTCTAGACTTTTAATTTTAGAGTTTACAAAGCACTATAAATGAATATTCTCTTTGATTTTTAAAGCAACCATATAATCCAAGTAAAAGCCATCATCCACATTTTTAAAATGAGAGAAAAGTGTCCACAGAAGGTATTTCTGACTTTCACTCTAATTTAGCTGAATTTCCTTTATTTTATATGTTCACCCAACTCATCACCACAACAGTAAGAACAAAAGGGGCAGCACACTAAGATAATCAGCATCATTGCAAACATTCCCACTGATGACCAATCTTTATAGGAAACCACTCCTGACAAATAAGATTATCTTAGAAGAGCTGCTATTGGCTTACTTCACAACTGCTTTAAATTGCATGGAACCCTGGGACTAGTTTCCAGAATCCTTCCTCAAAGTCTACTTTCACTTTAAGATGTAATAAGAAAAAAGATTTTGACTCTCTTAAAAAAATGGCCTAAATGGCAGACTTAACTCAAAATAGCCACCAGAATTATATAACCAACCAAATGTATTTCCTTTTCGCACTTAAGACAGGAGTCCTCTCATAAGAAATCTAAAGTGCAGACATCAGCAAGACAAAAAGAGAAGTCAAAGTAGGTCTTTCTCTGTGATTACCCAGTGCAAATGAAGGATCCACTTTGATTTATTCTTTGAATTTTCATAACAATTACAATGTTTTATAAAACACTTTCTGTGACAACTTCTGATATATTTCAAAGACTGTGCTTTGCCCAATGATATATGAATCAACTACTACTTTTGACATAATGCAAGCCTAGTTTTGCTTCCCAAAATATTTCAAATAAATAAAACCTACTTTTGACTTGTATCTAACTAAAATGAAAGACTGATTTGTTAGAAACTGACAAAATAGACTCAACAGTTCCTTCAGAGATGTAATTAACATCACCTCGTTGTTTCTAACAACAAAATATTCTTGGGCAGCACTGTACCACTTTCAGTAATGTCATGTCTCATCACACCTGTCTTGTTTGTAGGTGGTATCCAAGACCAACCAAGTGACCAGTTCAACTGAGATCATTCCCCACAGATTAAAGTAACACATGCTTATTATGAAACATTCTGGCAGTTGAACCAGAATTAGGGTTTAAACCAGAATCACATCACAAATTGTGTGTCCAATATTGATGAACCAATGGCATTCCCAATTTGTACACCAGTAGCACATAGATGAGTCCACAATGGCAGTAGTCATAATATATGTTGTATCTGCAAACTCAATGAAGGGGAAATCTGAGACATTTACCCAGACACTTCAGTTAAGTGTAAGGCTGAATGCATTTTGTCCTAAATGTTGCCTGATTCATTTGTTGCTTCAATTCCTCATGCGGTATATTTCGTGTAGAAAAAAAATACAAAATAGCATTTATAATACTTCCAATATTTCCTGAGAAGAAAGAGAACATAATGAGCATGAGGAGCTCAACAGCTATCTTTCTAGAGATATCATCACCATGAATATTGGAGGCATGGGGTTACATAGTTTTGAAACTTGGGATACAAGTCTGGGGTTTTCAATATAGAGCCATGGAAGTGTACAAAACATGCAAAACAGGGACATAGACTGGACCAATCACAAAGCATTAAGAAAGTCTAACATTTTAATCTGGAAAGAGTAACAGGAACGTTTTAAATTTGATCTGATTACTTTGGCATTAAAATGAGATATCCATGTGAAAAGCATTGGGCTTATACAGATCTGCCTCAGGGCACTGACCAAGAACATTCATAAAATTATGTATCTTACTTCTAACACATACATACCCACACCCAAACATTATTTATCAATATTATCAATTTCTCCTTAATTGTCTTGACCTAACATTTCATATCCAAATAGATCTCATCACATTGTACCTTACAACTTCAGGGTATATGATAAAATACCTTAAAAAGCACACATATTACTGAAAACAATTCTCTCAGAATAAAAATGACTCTTTGCTGAAGGAACTTAACAAACTGCATTCCATCTGAGAAGAAATCGTAGATATAATAATTTTTACCTATGTGACCATCTGTAGTCATCTATTTTATCTAGACATTGATAGCCAAACAATTAGGAGATTATGAAGGAGTATAAATGAATAATTTCAAAGAAGACAGTGTTGGCATCTTAGAATACTAAAGTAACATAACCAATAGAGGACATCTAGTGGTCTTTAGCAGAATCAATATTAGCCTGCCAAAAATATTTATACACACACACACACACACACACACACACACACACATCATAATGATAGTTTCAGTACGTGGGCTAATCAGAGAAAGATGATATCAGGATCTTATATTTCTACACAAAGGCACACATCAACTTAAGTATTTCAAATAATTTCCATGTATCTCATTTAACTTAAACTTCACAACTGTTCTATTAAGTTTTAGTCATGAATCACTCACTTTGAATACTTCCACCCAGATTAAATAGAAAATATAAGGCACAATTTTAATAAACACACATAAATACTAAGTTCTAGTATATGATCCAATTCACACCACCATGTTTTGGTGGTTAGAAATACAAGTCTCAAATATAATTGTGTCACAATAATATAATTATATTAATATCATATTAATAATGTCAAATATAATTGATATTTAAATTATAAAGCTGACAAAATAAACTTTGCATATGTCCTGTTCATGTTTCATTTTATACAAACACTGAAAGGCCAAGAATACATGGCAGAGATATCTAGAAAAGTATCCTGCTTGACACTAGCTATATATAAAAAACACAAGTGAGTGATAACTCTCTCCTGACTTATCCTTAGCTCCATCCCCAGTGGTCTCCAACCCTCCTCATTCTGCTGCATTCTCAATGTACCAGTAAATCCCCTGCCTGCACTGCCTCAAGGACACCTTACTGAGTAAGGCTACCATCAGCCAAAATTCCTGTCTGCACCTCCCAATGCACCACCTTACTGCCTAGGTTCTGGAGGCTGGGAACTGCTGGGCTAGGCTGCCTTGCTGGAATGTGCTCTTCTGCTCCCATTTTGCCAAGCTAGGTAATCCGGATTCCAGCTTTGAAATTCACTCAAGTACGTCTGAAGCTCTCTTCTTGTGCAAAGAAAGCTCTGTTGATTCCCTCCAAGTATATATATTATATACAATTGATTTCAGAGAGGAAGGGAGAGAGATAGAAGCATCAATGATGAAAGACAATTATTGACTGGCTGCCTCCTGCACGTCCCCCACTGGGGCTCAAGCCCGCAACCCTGGCACATGTCCTGCCCTGGAATCCAACCATGACGTCCTAGTTCATGGATCGATACTCAACCATTGGGCCACACCGCCAGCCTCACTCCCTTCTTTATGCCACCATTTACCACACCATCTGTGATTATGTCAGTTTCTCCTAGAAAGCTGGGGAATGCTTTATATTCTCATGTGCAGTATCTGCAAACAGAAGCTACTCAGTCCATGCTTGGGAGCGAAGAATGGCTATTCCCTTGAAATTACTTAGTGGATTTAGTGCATGGAGGACTGTTGGTGGACAGGCAGGCTCTGATAACCCACTGTGTTTAGAACTCTGTATCTGTGTACAAGCAGATGCAATGGCAAAAGCTGACACCGACTGTTCCCCATAGACGTTCATGTCCATCAACAGGAAAGGAACATGCATCTAAGCAAGCATCAGCAGCCAAGCAATCAGCAGAACATATGCAAGCAGAACCAGTACAACTGCTCACAGTAGAGGGACTGACCATGTAAAATGTTTTCTGGAAATAAGTTTAAGTCTACTTTTTAAGGGAGCAATGGAAAAAGAAAGGCTTTCTAAATCTGAGGTGTGGCACATGCAAAATTACAGAAAGAACCATTCTCTGCAAGAAGCACTGTAAACAAAAGAAACACAACAACACAAAAATCAGAAAGGAGTCCGTGGGTGCAAATAGGAAGTGACACGATTGAGACAGGGACTGGTTGGCTGAGGAGCCTTGAAGGCACAGCAAAGAAACACAGATTTGATGTGATAGGCATCAGGGAAGTTCTCTACACCCTCACAGAGGGCAGCGTTAGAGAAACAACCGTGCTTGCTCATGGCAAGCCTTGGGATGCTTAAAAAATGAAAGTAGTTAACAGTATGTGTTGTGTAATTGTAGATAGGCAATTCACAGCAAGAGTTCATTTCTAATACCAACCAAATAAAATGTTAAAATTAACCAAAGACAGAAACTGCAATCTGAATTAGCTCCCTGTGGAATAAATTTTCTGATTAACGCTCGGCTGTTAAACATCATCTGTTTATCAATTTGTCTCTCAGCCGACATAAAAATCTAATATCGATTGCTTGCAGAGAATTGTGATGTCCTAGACACATTACTCATCCGAAATTGCTATAGACATATACCAAGATGGAAACCACAAGCCCTCCTACTTGCCGCAGAATGGATTTAGTTCATTGTGATGGGTCTAAAAATCTATAAAAGGAAGGTTGAGGGAATAGTAAATGAGGAATAAAAGAGCAAATGTTATAGATATGTGTTCCAAAGGCTTAGTTATGATACAAGCATCATGCGTGTCCTACACTATTTTGTTCACTGCCCATGGCATTAAATCCTAAAAATAGATAACCTCTACAGAATAGTATTTTTTTTCAATTGCTATTCCCAATACCTAATAATGTCAAAGATCATCCAACTTCGAAAAAAAAAAATACAACCCAATGGGCCGGGCAGCATTCAAGGTTCCTAGGACCCTTCACCTTCACTAACTGAATAATCTCCCACTTACTAAGCCCTTAATCTCCCTTTATCTCTTCGATGGCTTTTGAGGGCTAACAATTGTTAATATTCCATTTAATTTCCAAGGATTTCCTCACCATATGTCTCCTTCAGGAGGATCACAGAGAATGGGTCACCCCTGTGATAGGGTACAATAGAGCATTCTGCCATGGGTCACTGACTTTACTTGAAATAGAATGAGAAAAACAATGCTGAATGAAAGAAATGAATTTTAAAAAGCCAAACTACAAGAAAGATTCACCTCAGTTTTCTAGAGATGAGAGAAAGAGGCATTTTCTGGCCTAATTTATTGAAATAATTGTTCCAGATTTTTACCTCACCTGACGATATACATGCAGTTTCATGAAACTTTACACTGAAAATATCACGCTGAGAGAGCTCTATTTTTGCATCTTAAAGCCACTGATCTTATAATTGTCTTATGTAAACGTCCCTCCTGACTTCTTAACACCACGTGTTTCACAAATCTGTTGGCCAAATCAGCTTTTTCCTTGTACAATAGCCATAACATTCAACTTTAGTCATGATAGTAACATAAGGACTACGTTTCTCTATTTCATTCACAATTTCTCTAATTTATCTGGCTTTGGCGCTTCTTGTTGTTTTTCAGATGAACTAATTCAGACCGGAAAACACACACACACACACACACACACACACACACACACACACACACACACACACACCATGTATCATTGAAGACCAAAGCAGTTCCCTATAGAAGGCAGCTGCGTTCCTTGGAAATGATTCAGTTAGAACGAGAGCAGTTTCCAGACTTCACACATTACTTCCCCAAATTTGCTGAATTTAGCACCAGCCAGCTTGGTACTAAAACACCCAGAATTCAAAGACATGTGGGTGAGCTCACATCTTCCTGCACAGTCTTATTCTAAACCCTCCCAGGGCAACGGCTGCCAAACTATTTGTTGTATTTCTACTTGTAAACACATCCTTGTGGCATTTATCAAAGTCAGGTAGAGATTTGCCAGCCTGGAACCATGTAAGATCCTTTGTGATTTTGGTTTGAATCATGTAGGTGGTGAGGTCATGAATTCATATTACATTTTGGATCAATTATGACTGTCTCTTCCCTGTTTAACAGGATTACTAACAGACATTAAATATCCATGATGTGTGTGATATCATAGGAAGGTATCATATAATCAAGGAAACATTCTTCACTTAAACGAGCTTACGGTTCATTTATTATCAAGGTCATTTATTTATATGAAAGAACCTGCCAACTCGCAGCTCTGGTTGGGGTGCGTTTGGTTACCAAATGCCTGTAAGTGCATATTAAATTGCATTTCTCAGTCACGGTGGCCGTGAGCCTGAGTCATACATAGCGTGGCATCTATAAAACCGCATCACAGTACACACATCCAGGTGCCTGTGACCGCTGCCAGGCGCCAGAGGACATCCCTTTTAGGGAGTGTCCTCTCTGCCCACGTGGCCTGCCATTTCATCCGATAGGCCACCATCTGTTCCTCCTGACGCTGTTCTCTAGGGTAAATGGGTTAAAACTACAAGACGTTGAAAATCAGTCTCACTGCCCACTGCATTTTTAACTGACTGAGTATTTGTCTCAGTGACTCTTCATTACACAGGCTAGCCATTAATATTGTTTTGTGAAACCATGTTTTAAGAGGTAAATATGCATCTACATTTTTTGTGTTTATTTTAATATATTTGTATTGTTTTCAGAAAGGAAAGAAGAGAGAGAGATAGAAACATCAATGATGAGAGAGAATCATTGATGGGCTGCTTCCTGCACACGCCCTACCAATCCAGCCTGCTACCCTGGCATGTGCCCTGACCAGGAATTGAACCATGACTTCCTGGTTCATAGGTCAACGCTCAACCACTGAGCCACACCAGTTGGGCTAGTCATCTACAATTTGTATTCAATACATAAAATCATTGGATATTAAGGTATTTGACATTAAAAGAGTACACATAGGTTACAGCAAGAAGCTATAGGTTTTTGGGGTTAAGAGCATTGCTTCTGGAGTTGAACTGCCAAGGTTAGAATCCCAGCCCCGCCTGTTACCACGAATCTGCGCAAGCTACCGGAGTCACTGGGAAGATTTACTAGTAAAGAATCAAATATATTACCTGACATATAATAATTCCTCAATAAACATTAGCTGTTATCCATAATCATCTTGGTCTGATATCAATTTCAAATTGGTATAATAAAGTTTGAGAACCAAACATTTATTGCATTTCAGATAGAATGTACTATCTAGACACAGATTAATTCAATCTCTCAAATGTGCTTCACTGGATTTTAAATATAACCCATATCCATATTTTAGGAACCATCCGTTCTCAGCCTTTTCAGCAATGTCTCACGCAATGTGCATGATCACATGGCATTTCCTGAAATCCTAGGAACTGAAACGCCATTGACAAGCACACACAGAACATGGCTGTGGCCCCAAAGAAAGCAGAGCTGGTGCTCACAGAAGTTCCATTTTCCGACTCATTTAAACCTAAATTCCAAAACACAATTCATCCTAAAAATGCTAAAATTAATTGCTGCTATGAGTACAGTGACAATCCATAACAAGTATATTGTTTTCTTGAGTGCAGACTTAGACACTCTCAAAGCATTTTCAACCTTCAGTAAAACTCAGGTGATAATTTACAAAGATAGACTTAGAAGGAAAAGAAAGTTAAGATGTTTAATACGCAGACTCTGGAAGTAGGGACATGAACTCCTTTGTGTAGGATGAAACAATTCACTCAGATCTTAGAAACTCCACTGCTGAGCCCTTTCTGGTCCACAGACTGCCTGGGAACAAAGTTGCCCCTAGTCAGCAAAATACTGGCCAGATGGACTGCACTTACCCACTGTGTTATTTGAGTTTTTTATGTATTAATTTTCCTCCTGGGTATGCTGTCTTTCAGTATTATGAAATGAACTAATAAGGAGAAATTAGCATAAATAATTACAAGCAAAGCATAACAAAGAGCAACATTAAAATGCTGAAATCACTCTTTACATATGTAATTTGGAAACACCCCCAAAATCTGTTTTCTTCAAACACAAATTCTTTGAAATTTCAATATTAGAGGAACCATATACCGGATTATCTCATAGAGCTAATGATAAAAGTAGATTAGCAAATAGACCCTCCACATCTTTGTCAAATATTGTCCTTGATGTATTCATATCAGATAAAAAAAAGAGCCATTCATGAGAAAGGAAGGGTTGCATTGTTTTGAATAAAAATTGTTTTGCTTAAAGTGCAATTATTAGGAAAAAACTAAATTAATATAAAATCACGAATTTCTTTTCAGTTCATTCAAATCTAATATTTGACCATATCTTTTGAAGATACACATATATCACTTACGTACCAAAAAATAAATAAATAAAAATTTTCTCCTTGAATTTCATAAACCTCATATATAGACCAGTTGTTCATTTTAAAACAGCCGTCATTAACAATATGATCATATAGTGACTTTAAAAAGTAAAACAGATGTCTTACCTCTTCCCACTGATGTATGTATCTAATTAATCTTGAAAGTCGTAATAAACGCAGGAGACTGAGAATTTTTGTAAACCTCACGATGCGAAGTGCCCTGGCCGTCTTGTAAACTTCTGAATCCATTCCCTTTTCTACAATGAGGAAGATATAATCCACTGGGATTGATGAGATGAAGTCCACCACAAACCAGCTTTTTAAATAATTCATCTTGATCACTTTAGGGTCCAGGATAATTTCAGAGCTGTCCTCGTTGACAGTCCCAGTCCTAAAATTCATGATCAGGTCCAAGAGGAAAACTGTATCTGAGGCCACATTGAAAATAATCCACGGTGTTGTTGTTTGTTCTGTGAAGAACGTGATTCCAACGGGTATGATGACCAGATTGCCAACCATCATGATAAGCATTATTAAATCCCAATAAAACCTACAACGAATAAAACAATCAGATTTTAAGATGCAGGCAGCAACCAGATCATTCTCTCCTCCCCTAAAAGTTATTACTGATCTGTGGTTAATAAATGAGTGAGAGAACAAAGTGTTGGCTTTAGAAATAAGGTAACTAACTCCTTCCATGGCAACAAATTTAAATCTAAGTAAAATTAACATATTCCTAAAGTAAGGTATTGTGATTAAAGAATTCCAAAAATTATTTGATATCAAGTGTTATAGAAATAAATTAAAAAACACCCATAACCCCATTTATCTGGTAAAGACCCCAAAAAACACCCTCCCTATAAACCAGGGAGAAATATAAAACCAGAAGACCTAACTTAAAAAAATGCTTTTGGTAAGATTCTCTGAAGGTGTTTTGAAGTACGTTATATACCAAATTACCAATCATAGATTAAAATAAACAAGGTGTGCTAAAAATACCAGTACTGCAAATTTATCCCTAGGAGATTAGGTCAAATATAAATTCTAGAATCGTCCCTAGCTTCACAGTAGTCCAAATATGTATGCTTTATTCTTCTTTAGTTTGAAATAGAAAAACTAACATTTTTCTGAGGCTAAAAATAATTGAAGAGACTCTACTCTAGATTTAAAACTAGAATCTATGTTTACTAACTATCTTTTGAAATATTCTTATCTCACCTTTCATTAAAATTGGGAGAAAACCAGGAACTTTCAGGTTATTCCAGGTTAATCTATTATAACTAAATTCTTCAGAGATGAATATGTAATTTTCATTTGTATTCTTGCAAAGAATATTGACATTATAAATAGACTATTTATACTTGTGACAGTATATACTTATAACAATAAAGAAACAAATGTACTGATAAATCTCTTTAATAATGAAAAGTCTGAAAAGACATGAGTCACTTTATCCTGATCATATGTGCCCTCTTTTGGAAGTTTAGTTGCATAAAAGGTATAGAAATTTCTTTTTACCGAGATATTTTTATTTAACATTAATTCTCCCACTTAGATTACTTGAGCCACTTTTGATAAGGCATACGTTTGCATAAATCCATCAAGTTTCTACCATCCCTAATTATGAATGGCTCCTGGAATAAAAGTAGTAATATAAGAAAGAACTATAAAAAGCACTCTCTCCCCTTATCTCCACACGCCCCCCAAGATCAGGTCAAAGGTAAATGTTTGTCATTTTAAAGATTTTACCAGTCTTTCCATTAAAACGTATCTATACATTTAGGGACAAGCATACAAATATCCATGTCAATCATGCATCATACACTGCCATTTTCAATGCAACCTTCTCTTTCTTTCTTTTTCCTTCCCCAATGGAAATATGCAAAATGTGCCCCTTAATATACTAAGGGCAAACGAGAGGTAGTGTAATAGCCATTTCACAAGGAAGTGATGTCACTGAGCTCTAGTGTGAAATCGAGTGTGCACTGAGGATTCCCACCTTGTGGCTACTCTTAGTCTCTTCTGTGGGCTCCTGTCCCTGGCCTCCCCAGAAGGCTGCTGCTCCCCTGTGTGTCAGGCATAGTGGGCCTTTTACCTTCTACTTCACACAGACTCTTTGGGCAATACCATACACCCATCCATGTCTTCTATGGTTCACCTGTAACTGATGACTCCAGAAGCTTTATCTCTATCCACTGCTGCCTTTAAGCCTCATGACCAGCAGCCTATTGAACCTACCCCCTTGCCTATCTCAAGGTTAAACAGCATCCCCAGGCCCCATTTCAACATCTCACCTCCCACATATACTCCTCATGCCCCCTCTGTCAAGGAAAAGAACAACTCTATACCTGATTTCCAAGTCAGAAAGCTTAGAGCCATCCTAGATAATTCCCGGACCTGAATCTGCTCAATCTCATGCTCAGTCACTGTGGCTGTTGGGTTTTAATACCTAAACATAAGGTGGATTCTTCCATTTGCCCTTTATCATTCCCACTGCAACTGTCTGCAACCAGAAATTCTTACCAGCGTTCAAATTTGAAGACAAGTTACTTAAATTCTCTAATACTGAATTGTCTCTTCTGTAAAATGAAGATTATTATAGAACCAAATGTGTAGAGATTTATAAATAAAATAAAATAATATATACAAATTACAGATCCTAGCATATAATGAACTGTAGATACAATGCTGGTGGCCTACTTACTATTAGTTTACCTTTCCTTTCCAAACTAATTCAATTTTTATGGGGAGTAACCAGGAGCCCATTGAAAAATACTCCCTTTTATATGCATGTTTGTATTTTTGTCATTAACATAGAAGCTATTTTGAAGGAAAAATAATATTCTATCCATCTTAGTCAATAGAGGTGAAAAGGATAAAGTGCCACTCACTGTTTATAATTGCAATAATGTTTATCACACCATAGCTTTTTATTACCAGGATTTAATATGGTCTGAAGCCATTAGCTATATTGACATCATCACGAAGGTCCATTGATCCTTATCATTTCCTCTTAAAGTATCATTGACTCTATTTCAAAGATATAAACACAGGTCTCGAAATAGACTTTGCATAATATAACTCTTCAGTTAACATACATTCATTCATTCTCTGATAGCCAAGAAAAATACAGTTAACACCCACTCAGAAGTGTGATGTAACTTCCGTTTTTGAAACAATGCATATGTCCCTGTAAACTGACCTCATGAGATCCTCTTGCCTACCTGCCCACAGGTTTCTCTTCTTGGCTCTTAGCTCTAAAAATGTCCCTTTGGACACTCAGGCTCTCCCTTTTCCTCATCTCTCAATTTCTATGTCTTACATGTTTTATTCCAGAATTGTCTTTCCATATATTCCCTCTTCCCATCCCCACTGTTAATATTTCAAGAGTCTCCTGTCTATGGCATCTGATCCATTCTATTCACCGTTCCAGAGCAACCTATCTAACAAGTAACTTGCCAGGTCAAAAGCCATCAATGACTCTCAATTAAATAGAAACAAGTTGCCCTGGTTTTCAAGGAAATAAAGACTCCTACTCCCTTCCCAGACTCTGCTTTAACACTTTATGGCAAGTACCTCATATGTAAAGCAAGAAAGTCCCCGCCACGCACACCTGGGTCCATGAACAGGAGATAGACTTCCTTCTGCCTATCATTTCTCTTACTAGCATCACCTCTCCTTCAGGTCCCATTCTGGTGAGAGTTTCCTCATTTTTTGTTTGTTTTCACAAACTCCAGAGCAACATATATTTTCAGTATGCTTCTTATATTATTACTTCTTTTGGTACTATTTTTGTTTCTTCCGTCATCACTGGATTTAAATTCATTAAAGTTCAAAATTGTATCTTGTCTTTTATTTAATTTCTGTAGTAATATGGACAGTATCTAGACTAACCAATGCTAAGAAGATAAATTAATTGAACTTTTAGTAGAAAGCTACACTTCAGTGGGGATAAAGAAATGCTTTTTAACAAGACAAAGAGCCTTTAATGCAGTAAATAATTTCTTAATTTATCTTTTATATAACACTGAATTTTTATTCATTGAGAGTTTTTATGACATAGAATACATTAAAATAAATTAAATAAGAAAGCAGATTAAGAACATGTTCTTAGATTAGACAGCCTGAAAACAAAACAGTTTGGGATTTGACAGTTGGTTTGATATGTTACAAAACCCCTCTCCTTTTCATGCTGCTCTACAGAGACAGGATTTATTTGTAAAAGATCTTAGTTGGATTTTGAAGGCAGACTAGGGTTCAAATTCTAGTTCTATCAGCTGCCGGTTTTGGACAAGAAAGGTAACAGCAGCGAACTTCAATTTTCTTCTACTACTTTCTTTGTAGGAGGACTGCAAGCAACGATGTATGTAAAGTATAGAACCTGTTAGAAAGTTTCTTGATAATTACAGTAAAGTAATAACTAAGTAATCATTTTTACCTTCTACTGAAAGGAGATACACAAAATAAAATAATATTACAATTATAATTAATATACCATTGATAACTATGATTTTAATTACTAATAATGTTGATAGACAAATTATTCTTATGTTCAGAATTCATTTCCCCCCCGCTAAGATTTTAGAAGGGAAAAAGTGGCATTATAAAGATTAGTTCCTGATATTAAACTGGAGAATTCAAATTTAGTCATGCTTCCTTCTTTCTACCTACTTGTATCCCTGGTAAATAAAGACAACCCCCCACTCTGTAGTAACAAGAACTCCCCACTGTCCCTGAGTTCCATGCCCTCTGATGACACCTGCTCCAGGTGAAAATACCTGATGTCAGACATTTCTAATCCAAAGCCTTAAAGAGATTTAAACAATCTCCATATCCTGCTACTGGGATTTAAATTTTTCTCTCTAAATATTTAGTGAAAGGTTCTATTCTCCCCTCTGTCTGATGAAATAAATATTTGTCATTAAGTAGACTTGTGGCTAAACCCTTGAAATGTAGCAGATTTATATGTGGCAATTATTTTAGCTATGATTTAAGTCAAACGGAGAGTAAAACCTGTCCCATTGCTAACACTTAAGACTCCCTCTGAAAAATTACATTTTTAGATATCAAACACAAATTGGGCATATGTTTGGTAAGCTACTTATTTATCATCATAAAGGAGTGTCTAACTGCCTTTACTTTTTTAAACACACAGTCCTTGAAACTAAGTTTTAAATTTTATTTAAAATTTTATTTAAAACTGACTCAATTTTCAGAAGTCCAATATAGCCCAATTATTAGGCACATGTCTTAAGAAATGACATAAAGGGCCTTCTTTTAAATGCTATGTCCTCATCCTAGTGCCATCAGTGGCAATTCACTTGCCAAGACTCACCAGCCAATCCCTGAACTTGGATCTGATGGGTTCTCAGACACTCTTCACCATCTTGCAAACCTCACTATTTACACACAGAATACTCACACTGGGTCGACACATGCCTGCCCTAAGCTGTGCAAGGAGCATTTCTTAGTCAGGTCTGTGATTTGGTCTAATGCCTTGATGTCTCTCAAGGATAAATTCATTGTCAAGGATGGGTAGGGAGTAAAGATATCAGAAAACCCAGATCATTTACATATAGACAACTGGAAGGGAAAATATGCTAGCTTTCCTAATACAGTGAAACCTTGCTAACATCCCCATTGTAGGAAAGTTTAGTCTAACTTATGGATAAAACAAAGTTAAACCATAACTGAAGACACTGAGATGATTTCCAATAAACTTAACAATTTTCCAAATGAGAACATGAGATGGGTGAGAGCTACACTATGCTATAGCTAATCTTATTCATTAAAATGAGTGATGGGATAGAAACATAATCCATATGAGGGTGTGAAGAGCTGGACCAAGCCCCCTTCCCCTGTAACTGCTCTTTTTCATTGTGTGCTAATCTCCCCACTGACAATATGAATGGTTTATATTGGTCCATAGACTCTTGTCTGTGGTGTTTCACAATTCTGTTTACTCCTCCTACCAGAAACCCTCCTAACTCTTTGGTTTCTATGATTCTGCATTTTCGTCACTCCTCACTCATATTTATATACCAGAAGAAATTTATTTTCCTCAACCTTTACCTAAGTCCTATTTTTCCTACATTAAAGTAGGCATCCCATAACCATTTCACCCAAGTTCTTATCCCTCTATTCACTCTCTCCTTTAGCCTCATCAATCCTTTTAGGCTGAACAAAAATGTTAATGTAAATGGTTATCAGGTCTCTCCCTGGCCTTGACCTCTGAGATGGAGTCATGCATTTCTAGCTACACCCTGTAATGTTAGTGGCCTCTGGGGGTCCCAGTGGAATAGCTGTCTCCACAGGCTAAAACCCAAACCAGTTTTACCTTATGACCTCAAACTAATTCTCCTGGTATTTTTATTTCTGTTTATTATAGCATGTCTGTTTTTCTCCTTTCAGCCAGCCACTGGGCATACGACTTAAAAATGATTCCTGACTCCCCTGTGGGCCCAGCCTTGCATTCAACCAGTCTCATATTCCTTCCGATACAACAGCTTTCATATTCAGCTTTTCATGTTTGTTCCATTGCCATCATTCTCCAAGAAGTTTTTATGATATCATTATTCTGCTTACTAATGTTCCTGTTTCTACCTGCCCCAGTAAATTACTTCCTATTTATAGCCACCAGACTTCCTATTGCTTGCAAAATGAAGTGTAATCACTCAAAATCCTCTACGGCTGGCTTGTCCCAATTCTTTACCTTGAAGCTCATCATTTTGTGCGCACATGGTCCTCAGCTATCATACAAAAAGGCTGTTTTTCAGATGCCTCATCTTTGCCATTGCCCAACAAATGTCTGGGTTTACTTCTCTTAAAACCCAAACTCAACCTCCACATTTACTAACATTACTTCAATAGTCAAGTACCATGCCAGGTGCCTCCCACCACTCTCTTATAAGCCATTCCCAGTCCTGTTGGAGTTTATCTTCTCCCCGCTCCAAACTCCAGTCTCAATTTCTCTGTGTGATTTCAAGCACTGCAGACACCTACTAGTGAAGACCATAATTTAGTGCAATAGGGATCAATTAATGAAGAATGTCTGTAAATACTGCTTTTGTGCTTCTTCCTAGCCAAATCGTATGCCAATCTTCTTTATATTTAAATCGCCTAGCAAATAATATACATACTGCCAATTCCCCAATGATCAAATTTTAAATTAATGCATTTATGTTAATGAAGATGTACTACAATATTATAAGATATATATATATATATAATTTGTTCTTTTGGATGGTTTTGAAATTAAAGAAGTACAAGCCTCCTTATTTCTCCTTGCTGGTAGAATTATGCTGCATACTTCTAATTTTCTAATTTTCTTGCTTTAGACAACAGAATGATGTCATTCAAGGACATCTTCATTATGTCATTCAAATTCGCTTCGAATGCATTCCACTGAATCAAAACATCTGTTTACCCCTAAATGTCACGCACAAAATATATTTCCATAAGTCTACAGCTTTCATCAAAGATGCAGAATGAGGAGAACTCCCTGAGGACTGAATAGGTCTGAGCTGCAGGATTCTATCTTTGTGACAACAGAGATTTTTCATAAAAATTCTGAACTTACAAAAGGAAAGTAGAAAATGTATAAAATAGCTCCTACTGTTTAAATTTACTTAAAATTTGGACTTTAAAAGTCTAATCTAAAATTGCTCCTTGGCTTCTCAGTATTTTTATTTGATTTGTCACTGAGTGATTTTCAAAAATTTAAGTCTTTACTTGGGACTCTCAGAACTTTATTTCTTAAAGCAGCGATTTTCAACTGGTATGCCACAAGAATTTATAAAACGTACAATAGCTGACTATTGAGTCAGAGGCACTGACCTCTTTTCCCAAATAAAAAAATGACAACAGCCAATACGATAGCCATATGGTGTGAATGAAACAAAAGTACACCTATTTTTGTCAGATTTGCAAAAAATATATACTTTTGGTGTGCCACAGAATTTTAGCAGTGAATGCATGTATGCACGAGATGAAAAAGTTTGAAAATTGCTGCCTTAAAGAAAAGCAAATATATTGTCAGTGGTCATGTCTACCAAAATGCATTCCAGACCATTCATTCTAGGGCAAAAATCCAGTAAGTTCATGTCCATTTTTAAACTGTTTCCAAGGACAGACTGAAGGAAACCTGACATTAGTAATCTTACTGATAGACAGTCTCATGGCACAGACACTGAAGGCACCTTTATCTTGAAGCTCAGTTAATGACCATCCATTGCTATGGGCTTTATATTTGCTGATTACTTTCATCCAACCACTGAGATTTTGGAAAGAAGGAAGATGACA